GAAAAAGATTTCAATGTACTCAAAATATAATGCATTGAGCAGAGATTTAAGTCCACTAAAATTAGATGGTTTCTTTCACAACCGTTTAAAAGGAAAACACGATACATTTAATGAACTCACCACAAAGATACTCAGCTTGCACTAAATTAGAATTTTCCTTTTTTTTTAATACGAGGGATTAGATACCCCTTTCTAAATGAGCCTCTACATATGTGAGCATCCATTTAGAATCTCCTGAATTAAGTTAATAGTCCTAAAGATATAGCACATGCCATTTCAGAGCTGCATAACCTTCCATAAGTGACATTTTCCTTTGAGCGCTGTCTCCTTATCCATAAAAAGGAGATTAGTACTAATACTCTGATACCTGACAGCAGGACTCCTTATACTTAAAAAAGAAACCACTGTTGCTATCATTAGAGTAACTACTTCTTTAGCCAATTTTGAAAAGAAAAATGAAATAAAATGATACAAGCAAGCTATGACTGATACAAGCATATCAGTATCTATATGCAGGAACAGTGGTCCTGATAGCTTTGCACTGTAATATCAGCATATTTTAAGTATTCCCACCCCTAAAACCCAAGAGAAGTTCTGAAACTTAACATACTCATCATAGAGAAGCAAAAATTTTAGAAAGACTCAAAAAAACTTTCACTTATTTCCAGAAATAAAATATGGTAGCACTTTAAGGAATGTCCTTCAAATCTTTTTTATGCATAAACAGACATATTTTATATAGTTGAGGTCATAAAGAATATAGAATTTTGCATCCTAGTTTCTAACTGACCACCGCACCATCTTTGAAAACGTTCTTCAGGCTAGCTCCCTACAATATGAATAGACTATAGTTTACCCACAGAATATATACTAATTACTCAGAATATACTAAAATAGCAGCAAATAAAACTAAATAGCAATACTGTCATGAATGCGTTATTACGTATTTCCCTCATGCTAACATAGGTATAGCAATAAAGATCAATGTAATATTAATAAAATACTAAATGAAAGCAACGATGAAAATAAGACAACTAAAATTAGTGGAGTAAGGGGGAAAAGCAGCCTGCAAGATTCAGAACTATTTTTTTTTTTTTATGGTTAGTTTCAGGTGTACAGAAGAATGCAATAGTTATCCTTTTCACCTCTCACACGGAAACAACCGCCCTCCCTAGAACTATTTTTTTTTTTTAATCAGCAGAACCTAAAGATAGAGTTTAAGGGTGACTTGAGAGAGATCCCATTCAGCTGAATGTATACAGATCCCTGGGCAATACGGACTAAACAAGAGTAGGTGGAATCCTCATTCTGTAAACATCTCGGGAAACTGGCAGGGTGATTAAGCAGAGCACATGAATTTTAATGTTAAAAGCCATGTGATAGAGATTCATGACAACAGAGTAGGGCAGAAAACAGCAGTTTTACAAAATAAGCAAAAAGGAAGCACAGAAAGGTCAAGGGATAGGTTGAGCGCGCTCAAATGTTGTAGTAGGTTCAAAATAATTGTCCTAAGTTTCGTAATGTATAGACTTAGCGTCCACGAAGGAAGACTGACTGACAGAAATTTTCTAACGTTGAGTACTTTGAGCTCTTTGATAGTCAAATCCACTTAAGATAATTTCCTAGAGACTGTTATTAAGGGCCCAATGGGGGAAGCTGAAAGTAACCAAGGCAGAAAATTCTAACTCACAAAAAAAGCATTATTCAGAATAACCCTCTTAAACTTCTTACTTATAAATACTTAAATGAAACAGAAGGAAGACAATAACTGCTTAAATAAGATTGAGGTGTACTTAAAAGGTGAAAGGATCCAACATTTACCTAGGAAAATTACCAGAAAAATAATTGGTACATCCCACCATATACTCAACTGCTAAAAATCAGCATTTCCTGCATACTAAAAATGGGGTCTAATCCCCCAGATCCTTTCAACTTATACTGCACATGTGTGCCATACTATGCACTAGGTGGTTAGGTCCATGTATAATTAGTACCCACAGAGATCTGTACCAGAGCTGTAGCTCTCAGCTCATTTCGGGGTTTTTTTGTTTTTTTGTTTTGTTTTGTTTTAGCTGAGCCATCCTGCTACCTGTTGGCAGCTCAGCGGCTGCTCAGCTCGGGCTGGACTCGAACCGCTGTTGCTCAGAGATCAAACTCTTGAGCGAGCTCTTAACCAACTGAGCCACTCAGCNGCAGCTCAGCGGCTGCTCAGCTCGGGCTGGACTCGAACCGCTGTTGCTCAGAGCTCAAACTCTTGAGCGAGCTCTTAACCAACTGAGCCACTCAGCGGGCCCCTTCAGCTCATTTCTATTAAGGCTCTCCTACTAAAGATAAGGACAAGTTAGGAGCCAGCCATTCTGTGGGGTGGGGTGGGGAGGGGAAGTCAAGGGCACTCTCTTCTACAGCTCTCTGGACTCTGAGGCATGTGAACACATGGATCCAGATGTACCAATAGACGTGACAAAATAAACATGACTTAAAATGACCTTATAAAGGAATGAAAGCTGCTTTGGTTATCTGTGGTTTCCCAATACAGTTTTTTGTTTGAGTGTACTTTCTATCTAACTCCTGTTTGGTAATTTTACAAAAAAGCCCTCAATTCTTACAACTGCTCTGCCTTGAAGAACTAGTGCCAACCCTTTTCTAAGATAGCATGGAAATGCTTCATGTTTTATGGAAGAACATTAAAAGAAAATGTCCATAAAGCAAAGCTATTTTTTTAAGCTAATATTAGGTGTTAAGGGATTACGGTGATTCTTTTAAAAGCTAGAGAAAGTGCAAAGGTAAACTGTTCTAGAAAGAGAAAATACTGACTAGGTTGCTAAGTTTATTTTATAAGTAATTTTATTTTCTGATACAAGAAAGACAATATTGACTTTTTGCCTTCCTCCAGTAGCCTGCGTTAAAAGATAGTTAAGTATAAATGAAATTCAGTTCTTAATTGAGTCAAATATTAGTTTAACATATTTTGAATTCTTTTAGCTGTACAAGAGCCATTTTGTCACAATCCAATATTGTGGAAAAAAAACCTCATGAGAATAGTTTCATTTTTTCTTTTGCAAGGTCACTAAAGGATGCCCCTGCAAAAGTAATTTTAAATTATACTTACCCCAATAAAATTGATTCTAAATTATACTTACCAGAGAAGTCAGATTTTTTTTTTTAAACTTTTTCAAACAAGATGAGAAATAAATAAAATACAAGTGGAGGGAAAAGGTAAAGCATAAAATCGATACTATATATACATGTCAATAATTTTAACCTTTTCCCTCAAAAATGTTGCTTAAAACAAGCAGCATTGACTCGTATCAATTTTATCTCTTTTTCTCAGATATTGTATTAGGTAGCATAGAAATGACCAATGTGTTAGAATTATGATTAATGGGGAAAGGAGAATCAAGATACAATTAAGAGCATAAGTTCACTGATAAATCTGTCTCTTTTAAGAGTGATGGTGGGTATATCCTAATTTTATAGTACAGAGCAGTAGACTGTAAAAATTAAGGTTTTTTGCCTTAAGTTAAGTTTCTAACTATACAATTTTATTCACCTGCTAAAAACCATTGAATGATCAGCTTTTAAAAAGTTTTACCTATTCCTGCAATGCCCAGTTAGTAAGTTTATCTCAATTCTTGCAGATAGGCTAAAATTTACATAATTTTATCACATGGAGATTCTTTTGAAATAAAGATAGTGAGCCTAAAACCTTTCAATGCCTCAAACACGCTAAAATTTTCAAAACTTAACGGATAAATCTTCTTGATCTCTAGGAAAATCTAGTTTTTTTCCCAACACAATCAATCTCATAAACTACAGGGCACTTTAGTGTGTGAGCTGCAGGTCATAAGGCATTACAAATATGCAAAAAACAAGACACTACATACTTCATTCAAGTACCCAGATCCTAATTGAGAAATAAAACTATTTCAAATGTCTTATATTCAGTCATTTAAAAATGTTATCAGAAAACATTAAATATTTGGAACTCATTTTCCCTGCTCTTCTGACCACTTAGCTGGATTAATCCTAAATAACTAAACAAATATTTCACCTAAATACCAGAGGTCTGAAAAAAATAAAAATCACATGGCTGTAGGGAGGTTGAGTGTTTTGAGATTTAAGCACCTTTTTTCATCTGAGACATTCACTTAAATCTAAACTGAGTTTACAAACTATGTATGAAGACAGTTTCTTTAGTCATCCCTTAACTGCCATAAATAACATTTCAGGCAGGTGATTAGCCTAAATCAACTTCCATGATTCCCTAATCCCCCAAAAAGAAAAGTCACACTAGTCAGGTTTATAGTGTGACCTCATTTCAAAATTAATCAATTATTGTACTTAGCCAAAATTAAGAGATCCCCTTAAACATACCCTTTATATATTTATATTTTGAAAAGAATTTTTTTTTGTATATACACTTGTTTTCTCATGATAGGTCTGCAAGTTTGTTGTGAAAGTTTAGTAATTCTATTTGAAGGCCAGTAAGTCAAAATAAAGAAATAAAATTACAAGTGAAAGAAATAAAAATAGGATCAATAGGATGTTTCCTAAAAAGATTCTGTTTACTACATAATGTGACCAATCAAAATGACATCATATATCTTGTTTTTAAGAATTACATAATCATATCCTAATGTGCTACTCATAATCACTATTTCATATAAAAACCTCAGGGCTGAACCAAAATCATTGTATACATGATATCCATTCTGTCTCCCAAATGATCTCAGCTCTAATATTTGCTCCTCCCAGAAGTTAATTTACTTAGTGTAACCAACATTGACTAGTTTCTAGTCTCACTAAGAACTCTGCACAAATACTCAAGTACCATAATCCTCTGATTCAACCTGTATCCTGCTGAATAGGTAACAATATGTTTAAATCTCTACAATAGGATCTCGTTTTTTAAAAAGACATCATAAAATACCTTTAAATAATAATATTCCTACATCTTGGCATGATAACACAAATTGCTATCCATATAGAGATCATATTACCTGTTAGTTGAAAGTAGATGGCCTACCCATCCCATCACCACCACATTTGGAAAAGAAAATTCCTCCTCCTCCTCCTTCAACTTTTTTCAGGGGGATAAAGAGAACCTCAGATGAATATTGCCAATCCCAACATGGAAGCAAACAGAAGCTGGGAGATAAGGAGGAAATCGCAGAAGCAAAGTTAGAGAGATGGCAGTTTAGGGGTGGGAGTGGGCTTACATTTTTTTCCACTACCTTTACGTAGGTAAATGCACTGTAGCCAGGGGAAAAGCCATGAGAATCCATTGCTATTATCCCTGCCTGAGTCAGTAGGACAAAGGAAAATGGGATGAAGTCACAAGGAAAAAAAAATAAGAGCAAAATGGAACCAGTTAAAAGTCCTCAGAATATGAAACAGATTATATACTGGGGGCAAGCACATTTGGAAAGAGAAAGAGTGATCCTGCCCATGTATAATAATGTTACCTTGAAAACATCCAAAAACAAAAAATGAGTTCTTTCAAAATTTCAGTAAGAGTGAGGTGGGCTCAATTATTCCATTAACATGTGCAAAAACAAACCTATTTTCATGAAAGTTCTCATCACAAGAAAAAAAATTGTAGCTATGTGAAGTGACGAATGTTAACGACACTTATGGCAATTATTTCACAATATGTACATGTGTCAAATCATTACATTTATATATCTTAAACAAATACAATGTTATATGTCAATTATATTTCAACAAAACTGGGGGGAGTGGGGAGAACCTATCTCAAAATATGCAAACTCTTCTTCTACTCTTCTTAAGGTTGAGAGCCTCCTGGTACATGTTGATAGATATAAAATTATAAGTCTATGTTAGTCACGGGAGAAATAACTTTTCAGCTTACAAGGCAAATGTTACTGGCAATGCCAAGTACCCTTTGATTACTTGCTTGATATAATTTTTTAAATGTTCTCACTCTTACTATCCACGTAGTTTGTATGACAGCTACAAATTCCTTTTTAAACCCAAATTCATTGTTTCATGGCCCATCTGAGTGGGCAGCTCTGCTAGGAACATACCATGCCATTTCCTACATTTTTTACCTCTGCACATGAAATGCCCTAATCCTGAAAACGTTCCCCTTAGACAACCACACACAACACATCACCATCCCTCCCCACCCTCCACCCTGGAATTTTCCAGGGCCTGCCCAGCTATCAACTTCCCCTACCGAGCCAAGGTTTGTTGCTCTGGCTTGGTGTTTCCACAGGACACAACATACAAAACCAAATTTTAAGTGATTTTTGAAACTGTTTTCTCACCCTACTTCCCTGACCCTACATGTAACTACTCTACTGAAGGCCCATTAGTGGTTCCCACAGCCAAGAGCAGTGTTTTTCTTATTACCAGTTGCTACCACTGGGTTGTTAAATCAATTTACTGAGTCCCAACTGTCATTCTTTCTTAAAAATAGAATAGAAATACCAGAATGCATCACACAAAGTGTATTACTTTGTGACATTTTATCATTTATATATGTGTGCACCAGGTTTTAAGGTAAAAACATGTATCTTACTATAATGGACCATTGCCAATAAAAGCTTGAAATACACCAGTTTTTGTTTGGTCTACAAAGCCCTCTAACTTGGCCCCTGCATAAGACGCTAGGCCTATCTCTTGCTATACCCCCAAAAAGCCCAGTTCGTCATGTCAAACTTCTTTGTAGTTCCTTATCTTAGTACCGTCAACCCCCTGCCTTGCAAGCCCTCTCATTTGTCTAGAAGTCCCACCTGTACTCATCTTTCATTATTTGATACTTATTACCTCCTCTACGAAAGCTTTTTCATCCTTCCCCCAGCAGGTAATGCCACACAGACACACATTTTGTACCTCTAGGAAGAATTATAACCTACAGTACAGCCCTTAGACATTTCACTGTACTTTTTAATGTTAGGCTTGATGGTCTTCCCAATTTCTAAACTACAAACTCCCTGAGCACATTTTACTAGTCTCTGTATCAGCAGCACTGAGCTGCTGTACATGCCACAGGAGAGGGGTTCAAAACTGGTAAAATGAACAAATAAAGAATTAAGGACTCGCATCTAACTTCTCTGTTAGAAACGACTGCCTTAACAACAAGGCCCATTCACACTGCAGGGCTGGATCAAGATTTCCTCATTTTTGCTACAGTAGCTCCCAGAAAGCAGCACACAGTAGCCTAAGGCAGAAAGAAGAGGTGTCAGCTTCCTCTCTCAGCAAAGAAGGGACTCAGTTCAGGTTGCAATGCAGCAGCACCCACTTCCAGGCTTCAGGAAGTTATCTAGGGAATGCAGAGAAGAGGGTTTCCAGAGGTTCCCACAGGCAGGTGAGATAAGTCAGAGACAGCATTATCAGACCTCATCAGCAGGGCGTCACATTTTATACAGAACTCTTAAGGGGGGCAGGGAAGTGGGTTCTCTATTCCCTTGCTGATGGCACTAAGTCGCCAATATGGGCTCAACAAAACAAAAGGTGGCATGAAATAACTCACTGAAGTTACTTGATTTCTGTTGCCTACTCTAATAGTTCTAAAATAGCTACTGACTCACTGCTCTCTTTATGAGATACCGCTTGAAGGGCTGGGGGTCATACTAGCAGGGGCTCCTCATGTGGGCTTGGAAGCTTTTCAAAGCCTTTTTCGTATATACACGAGTGCTCTAATTCTTGGGGGTCTGGGGTACCTACTTCACAAACCAATACTTCAACTGCCTTCACTGTAATTAAAAACAGTGCAGGCAGCATCCAAGATACTTTGACAGACTCTGCCAACTGTCAGTTTCAGCTGTTCTTTTCCGTTTCCACCATAGTTCATAAACTACTATGACAAGAGCCACAGATTTGTTTCTGCCTAAACTCATCACTCATTTTCTTTAAAAATAATTCCTTTTGCTTAAACTTTGCCCCTAGACTTGCAATCATATATATGTACATATATATAATTTAGGCAAAGATAAATTCTTATTGTAACAGTCAAAAATATGTGAAACTCTTCATCCACAAAATTAAATTGTAGACACCTGTCAGAGTAAGGTAATTTAGGACTGCCTGGGTAAAACAGTTCAACCTGTTTCCCTTTGTTTTAAATAGGGGCAAGAGGCTATGCTTATTCCGCACTTATTAGGGATAAACACCTACCAAGTGTAGGAACTTCCACAAATGCCTTCTCTGCATGCTCTCCTCTCCTACTTCCACCTATCCAGCCACTCTTGACAACTCAGCTGAAACAAGTTACTGTCAACAAGAGTCATAGCCCCAAATACAGACTTTCAGAAAAATAATGCCAAAACACTCCTTTGCCTCTCCAGTCCACCTTTAAGACTTTATGAAGGGCAAATAAGATGGTTTATCAAGAAATTTTAATTACACGGACGTATCTAAAACGTGTGCTATGTGTGAGAGCTTATTTGCATATATTAAATACCAGTCACCTTCCTAATTAAGTTCATCTGAGCTTCCCTTGGTAAAATGATGAGCATTCACGCAGCTTAAAGGTTTTGGAAAACCAATTCCTTCCATGATACTACCACTCCACAGCCTAGAGAATGCAGCCTTCCACATGAAAAACTGCAAATTGATTCTTTTTTCCTCTGACATGTTTTAAACAAAAGAGCTGCAGGTTCTCAAGAGAAGCCATATTTCAAAGGTTTTGAATAGTAGTATTTTTCAGTCTTTTCTCTTATTAAAATTGGTGCAATTCATCCAAAACATTTTTCAAATGTCATTGTTTTCCAGCTTGCGTGCTTAAAAGCTGCGTAGAGAAAACAATCTCGCCATCTGAAAGATTTACTTCAAGAAACCAATTAGTAATCATTAAAAAAGGAGAAAAAGAAAACAATTCACTTTTATAGACTGGAAAAGAAAAACTTAACTCATCCAAGTCCTTCATTTTACAGATAAGAAAACAGAGTCCATGGAGGTTAAGTAATTTGTCTCAGATCACAAAGCTACTAGTAACAGCACTAGAAATAGAATGAGGTATTTTAATTGCTCTTAACAGTACCCTAAATCATCCAAGTTATATATGTTCTCAATTGTCATTTAAATTTTTAAATTATTGCTCTTTTTTATTAATTCCTGATGGACTCCTACAACATATGTTCTACATTTTCAAACTTGTTCAATTTAATAAACTTCAAATTCTAACTCCAACAAATAAAGGTACTACCATCTAAGAACTTTCCTCTGAAAGTTTCAAGAAAATAAGTTAGGTGTGCACACCCCTAAACTGTTACAATGAATTTAAAAGCACATACTTTTCCATCACCATCCCTTAACTATACTTTAAATATGTTTGCTCAATCACCATGAAAAGAGGGAGGGTGGGTGAGGAAATTCTGGAAGTTCCTCTTTGACAAAAAGCATCAATAATCTGTCAATGAAATGACTAGATCATTACTCCATTACTAAATTATGGGTTTCTAACTTAAATTAGGAAGTCACTAGCATTGTATCAAGTTACTGTGTGAAGAGTTAATAAAAGGTTGGAAAATGCACCCTTGGTTGACTTTGGATCTGAAAGAAGGTGAAGAGCGGACACTGTTAACACAAATTGAAGACCTGAGCTTAAAAGCAAAAAATTGAAGTGAACATGTTCCTTCAATAAAAAGCTCTTTCCTGTTCAAGCTCCTGTCTACCAAGGGCACCCTCCCTGTGGAGACCACATCAGTAAGACTTTCAGATTTTCGTTTTAATGCCCTAATAAATCAATTCTGCACTTTTTAGCTTTGGCTATTCAAGGGCAAAGCAGAGGGCAGAGAGGGCAACATTGGATCATTTTCAAGTACTGTAGTCTAACCAGTCATTACTTGACAATTATTTATTTGTGCAACTGATTGATTATTCTCAAAGTACTAAGAGAATGCAGTGCTTATGTACTTCTCTGAAAGACACTGGCAACAAAACCTAAGACAACATAATTTTGATTACAAACTGATGCGGCAGTTTGAACAGTAAAACGCAAGTGTGTTGTCTTCTTAAATATTACTTCTAAAATAGTACTATGTTTCTTAACTATGACCTCCGGTATCACTCTATAAAAAAAAATTGTTAAAAGGTTAACACATCTGCTTTAAAAGTATGGCCAGCTTAGCAAGGTGGCAAATTTGTTTGAAAACATAAAACAAGACAATATCCACCATCGCTCAGTATCTCTCTCTCTCTCTCTCTCTCTCTCTCTCACACACACACACACACACACACAGATTAGAAGCTGTGTTAAACACAAAAATCCTTACCCCATTTTGCCCAATGAAAACTTGCTCTGAAGTTTCTGCTCTTCTGCTACGGAATAACTTCCAAAGGAATTTCTCCGTCTGCTGTTTCGCAGTTGCTTTTCCACCCCCCGAGGTCCTTTTCTGGAGGTATGTGGCAATTCAATTAGTTCCCTTAGGTAAAATGATTTCTCTCTCGTAAATACCAAAAACGTTCAAACAAAGGTGGCATTTGCTTATTAGAGTTAAAATGCTGCGCGGAGGAGACAGCGGTCAACCCTCTTCCACAAAATGAGTCTATGTGTCGGAAAACGCAGAATTCAGCTTCCCCGAATCCTACAAAAAGAGTTCCGTGGTCATTTCGCTCATGCCCTCCTCCACACTCACAGAGAGCCAGGTAACTCGGTCTTTTCGGTGGTAAGGCTGCAGGTTCAAATTTCTCGACCACACCAGGTCCCTGGGGGTGGAGCGTGCAACCCAATGCGACGTGCACTTGAGAGATCCCTACGAGAAAATAAAAATCCTAAAAGCAGTAATGCCACTGCTTCCCTGCGCTCACATTAGAAAAAAGCTATGTAGAAAAATCTCCTCCAAGTGCAAACCCGGCAGCTCGCGACGTGCACGGCACTCCACATTGGAATCTGTCTTAAATTTCTCCCCTCCTAAGACTCGGAGCAGAGAGGAGGTGGAGAGGAGGAAGAGAAGGCTGGGCAGGATCGATTCATTCTCCCGAGAATAAACGGAGCCATTTCCAGGCTGGCAGCAGGCTGGGGGCGCAGCGCACACTGGAGAGCAGAGGGAGGGGGCCCGATCCCACCTCCCTCAGCCCCTGCCCGCCCCCCGCCGCCGAGCACAATGGAGCCCGGCTCGCGCCCGACCCTTCATTCGCGGCTGCCCCCTCTTCCCTCCTCTCTTCGGAGCACCGCAGGTCTGAGGCTCCAGTCGGCGGAGAATGAATGAATCAGAGCGCCAAGCGCCACGCCACCCCCGGCACCCTGCCCCTGCTCCGGGGCGGGCCGAGCGGCGGAGGACGGCGCCGAAGGATCGACGGGCGCGCGTTCCACGCCGGGAGCAGGAGAGCGGGCCTCCACGCCGCGGGAGGGCGGCCGCCCCGGTGCCCCCACCCCTGCTCCGCGCCTCTCCCGCTCCGCGCCGCCGCCACGCGCCGCCTCACGGTCCCCGGGCCCCGCCGCCGCCTCCTCACACCTCCATCACCGCCAGCCTCCGCCGGCCTCCAGCTCCCGCTCAGCCGAGCAGCGCCGACCCGGGTGGCCCTGAAGCCCGCTGCTGCCTCCGCCTTCACCGGCCGATCGCAGAGTGCAGGGCGCCCCTTCCCGGGTCAGCGCCGCCCGCGTGAGCCGAGCGCGGCGGCAGAGCTGGCTGCGGGCGGGGTGGGGGGTGGGAG